AAGGTCAAAAAAGGGGGATCTAGAAACATCTAAACTAAGAATTCTGCGGCGTTGAGTCCCCGGGACTTTTGCTTACCGAGTCTGGGGCGTTCATGTGATGAAGCCCGCATTTCCGAGCTGCTCTTCCTGCTTTAAGAGCTTAGGTTATGGGTCACTGAAAATAAACCGGATCGTCTCTCAACAAGCCGTGAGTGCTTTCACAAGGCAGTTATAAAGATTAGAATTACCTGGTTTTCTTTCATCTTTTCAACATTTTTTAGTGGAGGAAAAGAGCTTTCTTCATTTTGCACATTTTGGGGGTATAAACGTCCTCAATGGTCACGCAGTTCCTTCAGTTGAGACAAATGCCATGAAGACACTGCATCACTTACTGTGAAACTAGTCCTAACATGTAAATGAAGTTTCCGTACAACACTAAATAACTCGCCAGTGCAGCTTGTAGAAGTGCATGCCTTTTATTTATTTATTTTTGGTGCCAGAGGGAGTGTGCACACAGGATAGAAAGAGGGGGCCACCTCTCAACAGGGTTGATCTCTGCAATTTTCTTCCTCCAGTTCTTCATCCCTTCAAGATCCTAAGCTGCACTCACAGCTGGTGTGTTTTCAAGCCTCTGGGGCCAGGCCTCGAACCCAGCGTGGTCATGTGGGATCCGGCTTCTTCTGCACAGCTTCCTCAGCATTTAACTGCTAGCTACAGGCTGGTCCCTCCCCTGGTCTTACAGATCAGCATGCAGGAGCTTTCGGAAAACTTGGCTCCCTGCTTAGTACCTGGAGGCTAATGAGCCCTAAAGTTGAGGAGACTGGACCACCTCCCTCGTGAGAAACTGGGTACTGTTTAGGATGAGTGCTGCCTACGAGGACAGCTTAGGGGGGCCCTCTTCCAGGGGGCCCTGACATCCTGCACAGGCTTTCCTGAGCACTGGTCTCACGGGACGATGAAGTTGTTCTGGTAGGAGACGTTCTGAGGTCCCCGATGTTGGAGTGGCAGTGGGACAGAGCAGGTGGTTTCTACTGCCACCTTCAGAGCCCCTCCCTGCAAAGTACCCTCCTGTGAGAGCTCCCGGACTGGGCAGGCACCTCCCCGCACCACCTCCTCGTGAAGCCTTTCTCTGAGAGCACGGCATCGACGGCCCTGCGTGCAGGACACTGGGGAAGGCGGCCGTGCACATGTGCCTTGGCCTAGGGAACCTTATTCCACAAGACTTACCTCCAATAGTCACCTCCCAGAATGAATTTCAATCATTTTCAACTCACTTTTAGTCAATGATTTTTTCAGAAACCTACACACTGGCAAAATCAGTTACCATGGGGGCCAGCAGGTGTGCGGTGGTTAAGGTGATGGACTCCCACATGGCTGACCCCAATTCATGTCCTGGGCCCGGCGGCCTGAAAATCATCCGTGTGTGTGTGTGTGTGTGTGTGTGTGTGTCCAAAATCCCAAGAAAAAACTGGAGGAGAAGGGACTGTGATGTGGCCATCTCCCCGGGGGGTGATTTCTCCATGTCTCACTCTGTCTCTGTCTTGCTTCAGTGAGTACACATGCCCCCACATACATGACAGAGACTAAAAAATAGAATCAAAAGAATTTAAGTTTTCCTAAAATTCAAGTGCCCGCACAACCACCCCGTGACCACGAGGGTTGTGAGGTCTTGCTCACCAACGCAGTGCCCTGTGGCCATCACGGCCAGCTTGATCGGGCTCACAGTGCGGCGAGGGACCCAGAGGGCCGCACTCCCGCAGCCTGCTCCTTCTCCACCCCAGCAGCACAGCCTCCCGGCTGGCCGAGGCTTACACGAGCCACACCACGACTTCACGACAGCGCCTTTCCTGCAGTCACCTACACTCTGCAGGATTCTCGCCTTCCTTCCACTCCTCGGCCCGGTTGTTTCAGAGAGCCCCCCTCCCTCGCGCCCTCTTCCCTGTGCCTACCACGTACACTGAGGCCCTGACTCACATCGGAAGGGCAGGGGCTCTGGCTAAACGACCACGAAGGGGACGGGGGCCAGCTGTGTGTGTGTGTGTGTGTGTGTGCACGCGTGCGTGGGGAACGCCCGATGGGCCAGCGCCGTCAAGCATGGAGTCCCCCGCCGAGACTCGGCGATGCTCTGAGAAGCTCGGAAAGCCTCTCATCTCCTCTTAAACTAGTTTTTATTCAGAAATGATCGTTAGTGCCATTTGTCCTTCATTGTACATGCACACGTGACAAGAGCTACTGAAAGACAACGGCACTTGATGACACTCCCAGGAACTCGGGAGCCGTGGACCAGGGAGTCCTGGCCGACCCGCAAACGCCCCGCGGTGTCACTCGCTCTCCACGCAGGACAACGGCCTGGCTGGCCAACTGCCCTCCGCTTTGCGCTTTCTCCCCACGCTGCTATGTGGAAGGACAAAACTGCATCTTCCGTCTCACTGTCGTCTCGCTCTCCACGCAGGACAACGGCCTGGCTGGCCGACTGCCCTCCGCTTTGTGCTTTCTTCCATGCTTCTTTGTGGGAGGACAGACTGCACCTTCCGTCTCACTGTTGTCTTTCCTTGGGACCGTCTCACCTCTCCACCTAACAGGGCTGGACACAGGTCAGACGGAAACAGCAGTCACTAAAGCCTCGCGCACTGTCCCGCGCTGTCCCAGCTGCGAGCCACCAAGGCCTCTTTCCTCAGCGCCATGACGTAGAGCAGATGCGCACACCCGCCCGCAGCCACCACCCACTACCTGGTGTCATCACGGAAGACAAGCGCTAAATGCATTAGTGACGTGGTCTCACACGAGGCCACACACGCTCTAGATCTGTGGTCTTGTCAAAAGGCTGGCTACGGCTGCCCCGCTGCACACAGCTGCAGAGGTCCACGACGTGGGCAGTGTCCCCCTGCCATCCAGGAAGAAAGTTACAGCAGCGACAATCAAGGTAGCCATGAGGACTTGTGTCCCGGTCTCTAGAGCCTCCCGTGTGCTGCAGTGACCCCCACGGACAGAGGGGGATGCCCTGCCCCACCCCACCCACAGGAGGCAGAACAAAGGAGACAGCAAGCCCGACGGACGCCCCAAGTTTCACAGCTGGACGGCAGACGCAATGCCCGCCTTCACAACAGCACTCTGCAGAGCGGCTGTAGCGTCACTACTTCAGAGCTGCAGCATCTCAGGGGCGGCCATTCGCATGATCCTGGCCGTCAGACTGGGCTGACTACAGTGGGGTCTGCTGCTGTCTGTCGTCCATAAAGCCCAAGTGACGGGCAGGTATCTAGGAATCCCTGTGTTGGGCTAAAACAGAAAAGCCAAAGAACTCTTACACACGCGACACAACCTGTGTTGCTCCAAAAGGAGGACTGTTTACCAGTCGGCGTCTGGCATTTTAGTCAGAGAACACGGTAGAGTTTTATCCACTGAGAAACAGATCGGTTTGCGCCATACCTTTTAAAACACATAAACCAACGAAAAATAAAGCTAGGCCTCTTACACAAAGTGTAATTTCTTCATTATGATGGAATGCAACAAAACATCTTGCCCTTGGGTTGCTGGGTTTCAGCCCAAACAAATGCAAATGGCTTGTCAGATGACAGCTGTTTGATAAGGCTCCTCTACAAGACCTGCATGCTTTACTTTTCTCCGTGAAACTTGGGATGAAAGGCAGAAGGCAGGAAGAGAATTAATGTAGCATACAGTCTAAAGGCAATGCTACAACCGTGATTAAGTAGAAAAGTTAAAAGGCACAGATTTTCCACAGCTTCGCTGCGTGCAACCCATCCGTGTAACAAGTTGACAGGCCTAGCGCGTCAGCTCCATCATCCCCTCCGACAGCTAAAACGCAGCATCGCATCCCTTTTCAGAGAAAATTTGCGTCTGCACCATGAAGCGTTGTACATTATTTCTTAGCACTGCAGGGGGCTCAAGTCCATATGGAACCTTCACAAATATTACCACAGATCAAACCAGCGGCGTTTGGAGGCAGATTTGACATACCTATTTAAATGAACAGCAGGGGTCCCCGGGCAGCCTCGGGCTGTGCGGGAGAGAACCTCACGGAAGCCAGACCCAGCTCCATTACTCAGCAAAGACACACTCTGCATTTATCATTCATTTCATTTCTGCCAGGGCAAGGAGCTCATTTGCCCAAGGTCAACAAAAAACGAAAAGAAGGTTTTCTTTTTTTTTCCCCCAGAAATAAATGTACCTGACAAGTGAGGATTTTGTCCTTTGGGTGTGTGGAGAACAAATAAACACCAGATAATTCTAAAAAGCGGAGTAAATGTGCACACTGATTCAAGCCACTGACATCTGACTGTGGATGCGGGGGAAGCCCTATAAATATTTCCGTAACTTTAAAAACTCATATCTTGAATAAAATAGAACTTGACATCATGTTCTAAAAATAAAATGGGTTTCTGTCTTTTAGAACTGGATATTGGCATCTGGCTTTCTGGGTTTTTTTTTTTTTTTTTTTTTTTCCCATTATAATTCTGGGGAATTCTCCTAAATTTGCACACCACCCAACACTTACAGCTCTGAACACAAGACAGTTTTTGTCGAATGCAACTGGAAGGCAGAGTGAGAGAAAATAGTTTCTTAGGTTATTTTTGCTGCTGAAATGCTAGACTGATACGCCACATTAACCTATGAGAAGCCGAAATGGTACGTAAGTTACAGAAAAGATCCCTGGCGCCCTCTCCCAAGGTGACGCTCCCAGCCCACGCAGCCCTGTACTGGGCCGCATTCCCCTCCTTGCCAACACACGCTGCAACCCAGCTGAATGGCGACCAGTACCTCCTGGCAGAAACTGGTCAGTAGGAGCACTTCAGGGACAGACACGCTGACAGGAATTCTGTAAAGTTTACTAGCAAAAACGAATGAATGAAATGTAAAGCCCTTTCATTAACACCTCGCCTTACCTCTGGAAGGCTCATTTTTACCTTCTAAGATCTCGGTAATCCTGAAGTCAGGAAGGCTCTAGTATGATTACCTGTGTGGCTTACAGTTCGTATCATTTATCATAAGGGCAGGATACTCACGTGCATTAATGAATAGTACGATGGCTTGCCAGTGTAGAAGAGGAAGTGAAATGGACGGCCGTCTTCTCCCCACTGGATCGCTAATAGAAAAGCCAGATGAGAACAAAACAGGGACAGAACAGCTGCATCCAGCTGCAGCTTTACATACACTTACAATTCTGATTCACGTTTAGAATGACAAAACATCATTAATATTTAGAGTTTTCATATTGTTTGGCATAACTAATATGTAACTACTTACGCTACTTAATATTTCATACCTGCTAAAACCTTTACATCTAATAAAATAGTCCTACATATTTTATCATGAGAGTTTTTATAATTTGTTTTAAAAAAATACATAAAATAGCCAAAACTCATCTTGTTAAAAAAATAAAGTAGGCTTAGTTATAAATACAATATATTCCCATACTATTAAAAATGAAGACTGATAATGTCCATACGATACATTCACAGGATTTAAGACAGGTATAATACAACAGCAAAAACTACAGTACATATTTCCCTATGCCATATTTGTTTTACTCTGATGGTAACCACATTCCAGAGTTTAACGCACTGTCTGCAGAAGGGGCTCGAAAAGGTGCTCTGTGGGGCCAGCAGGTGGGGTAGAGGTTGTGGCGCTGGATCCGACATGGCAGGAGAATGGAGAAGGGACTGCAGTGTGGCCATCCCCTGGGGGGTGATTTCTCACTTTCTCTGTCTCTGTGTCTCTGGCAAGCCCACGTGCCCCCACAACAAAAATCCCTCTTAAAAAAAAAAATGCTATGTGTAATTCCTTCTGAAATACAGACGGTCACTCACATCTAACAGCCGCCAAGTGAGAAACCCGCCACGCCCTCCCTCCCTGTCCTTGGCCCCATTTCTCTACTGCGGATTTGCAGGGAGTCCTGTAGGGTAACCAGCCTGGTGCCACTGCCGAAGTTGTAAACTGCTCTCTCCCTGCCTGTCCTGTCTCTGCCGTTTCCTTGTGTTCTGGAATCTGTCATAATCCAGAACTTTAAACTACGCAGAGTTGAATCTGCTGCTTTCCCTCTTCGGTGGTTGTTTCTCAGCCACTTTTTCACTATTGATCCCACTGGGGAGCACTCTATGACACCCCCCACCATGGAATCGGAGCGCAGAGACACTGCCTGTCTGCTGGTGCACACGAACCCTGGCAGGGAGATCTCCCCTGCCCTATGACCCACTCCTGCCCTGACCGACACATGCTTTCGGCATGGAAACCATTCTCTTTTATGACATCTTCTGGGATTTTTCTTTGTTTTCATGTTCAGCTATTTCATCTCTCTGAAATTTATGTCTGTGAGGCAGAAATCCAAGTATTATTTCATCCAGCAAAGAGAGTCACGACCGTTCTCTGGTTTCAGACCGGCGTGCCCTTTCGGCTGAGATACTGCCTGCATGACATGCAGGGCATCCTCCGAGGATTATCAGTGTTGGACGTAGGCCACTGTCCATGAACACATTTAAAGGGAAGACCACACTTGCATAATAACTGGTGGAAAAATGTCTTAGTTAGATGTTAAGCTTAGGAGATAAAAACCAGGTTTTTATTGGCCAGTGGGCTGATGGATGATTTAAGAACTTTTCCAACATCATTATCATAAACTTCTTGAACTGCTACCTGCTTTTCTAAAGTTGTGCCTTCACTATGCAATTTGTTTTGTTAAAGTAGTCATTCAGAAAGGGACAAAGAGGATAAACATAGGGTCACAGACAGGACTCTACTGGTAAGCTTGGAGAGAGAGATGTTTTGAGTTGGAGTCCTATCAATTTTTAATTTTGAAGTAGGTTCTTTTTTTTTTTTTTTGGAGAAGATTTTGCCATAGGACGCGTGTGTGCCTGCCAGAGAGACAGAGAGACAGAAAGCGAGAAATCACCCCCTGGGGGGATGGCCACGCCCCCATCCCTTCTCCTCCATTCTCCTCTTGAGATCTTGGGCACACACGCGACTGGCGTGAGTTTAAGCCACTGGGTTCAGGACTCGAACCACAGTTGACTATGTGGGAGTCCAGCGATGTAGCCACTACACTATCTGCTGGTCCCTGAAATAGGTAATTTAAGAAGGGCACATTAGTGGCCACCTGTAACCCCGCTAGTTAGGAGGCTGGGGCAGGAGGATCCTGAGTTCAAGGGAGCCTGGCCAAGAAAGCAAAAACTAGTCTTTAAAATAATAGTAATACAATATTTACTATTTTTTTCCTTTTTTTGTGTGTGTGACTTAAGGACACAGTATCTGTTATTTTTAAAAATACTGATAATTGGGCCAGCAGGTGGTATGGAGGCTTAGGTGGCTGGATCCCACATGGCCAACTGCATGGTCTAAGTTCCAGACTCAGCAGCCTGAAAAACATGCCAGTTGCGTGTGCGTGTGGGGCCAGCAGGGGGCGCAGTGGTTAAGGCACTGGACTTCCAGAGGGGTGACCATGGTTCGAATCGCAGTCCCAGAGGCTTGAAACATACCAGGTGTGTGTGCATGCATGCTCAAAATCTGGAGAGAATGGAGGAGCAGGGATTGTGGTGTGGTCATCCCCCAGAGGATGAGCTCACTTTCTCTGTCTCTCTGGTGAGCACACTCACCCTATAGCAAAAATCTCGCTAAAAAAATAATAATTGTAAAAGAAAAGAAAAAGAGTCCCAAAGTCCTAAAAGAATAGAACAGAGGGACTGCAATGTGGCCATCTCCACAAGGGGGTGATTTTTTCACTTCTTCTCTCTCTCCTCTCTTTTTCTTTGGTGAGTGCTCATGCCCTATGGCAAAAACAACAACAACAAAATTTTTAAGTATTGATAATCTGTGCATTCATTCTCCTACCAGCTACTTTATTGAACTGTGCTCTAGAATTTTAAGTTTCTAATTCCAAAGACATGATTTAAGTCTTGACCCAACTCTAACATCTTCTGGATATAATCTACGTTTTTAACATTTCATTAAGTGGAATTTTAAAAAGAAGGCACATGCACGTGTACCCTGGTGTCTGTGTCCACAGCGATCTGCAGTTATACCTGGGATCCAGTGCTTTAAAATCACTTGTTTGCCAAAATACACAAAGGCAAACAAGGACTACGGTTCACCTGTCACCAAGGAGACCCAAGCTCCTTAGGTCTTCACGCGCCACGGCCCTCTGCTTCTGTGTGTGTGGAGGTGGCCGTCACTGTGCCATCCCCCTGCTCACGCACCCCTGCACAATTGGCAGGCCGCCCTGTGCTGTGGCCCGTGCTGTAGAACGGTATCCTCCAACACTTTCAAACAGTTCCTAGTGTGAACGCTTTAAATTCAGATACCCGAATAATGAATAATGACAGTCTTCTGAAATCTTAATAGTTTTTAGTTTATGGTTTTCTATCGTCTTTTTTTTGTTTTTGTTTTTTAGAGGTTTTTGCTATAGGGCGTGTGTGCTCACCAGAAAGAGAGAGACAGAGAGATAGAAAGCAAGAAATCACCCCCCAGGGGGGATGGCCACGCCGCAATCCCTCCTCCTCCATTCCCCTCTCTGGATCTTGGGCACGCACACACACATGTCCGGCGTGAGTTTGAGCCACCGGGTCCGGGACTCGAACTGCGGACAATTACATGGGAGTTCAGCGACATAGCCATTATGCTAACTGCTGGTCCCAGTTTTCTATCTTTTAAGTGGGCAAATCATAACACCCATGAATAGGGACAATTTCCCTATTTCTTTGGTTTTCTGAACCCATACTTTTTTGACTTTTAATCTATACTATTTTTTTGTTTCCAATTACACTGGTTGAGGCTTACAATACTGAATAAGAGAGGTGAGTATTGGTATATCTGTCCTATTCCTGAACTTAATGGCATTTATGGTATATTTAAAATTTTGATGTGTTTATTTCTCATGAATTTCTCATACTGTTTCTTTTTATTTCTAGTTTAAGCATTTTTATCAAAAAAAAGTATGAATGCTTGATTTTGTTAATTGGCTTTATTTTTTCTCTATGGAAATATTTTCTCATCTGACTCAATTAACCCAGAAAATTACATTAAAAAGTTCCTTATGTTAAAACTGTCCTTATGTTACTGAGGGTAAAATGTCCTCTGGTATATTCCAACTTGATTGCTAACTTGAAGCTTAACTTGATTTGCTAGCATCTTAGTGAGGACAGACTATAGGTTTCTTTTTAAAAAAAAAAATTACTTAATTTTATTTATTATTGTTACTATTTTTGCATTTGCTATAGGGCATGTGTGCTCACCAGAGAGACAGTGAGGGTGTGAAGTGAGAAAGCAAACCACTAGGTGTGGGACTCAAACCAGTCAGCCAAGTGGTAGTCCATCACCCCAACCACCACGCCTCTATAGATTTATTTTTTATGCCGTTTGTGTCCATATCTGATAACCGTGTGAGCCTTTATGGTGAATCGGGAAATTAATTCTCTTTTTCTACTACTCAACAGTTAAGAGGGTAACAAAGTTAACTATTGGAGCACTGCCTAAACTTTCTGGGCTGGTAACTCTTTCAATGAGATATTCGACGACCTTTGACTTAACTCTCGGTCTAACCCTGACTCTCCGGACTGACACGACTGCAGCAACTGCATTTCCCTGTAAGCTGCCTGTCCAAGAGGGAGGAGTGTGGCGAGCGTGCGCCCTGGAGGACTGGCGACTGGGGCCCGACTGCATCCCGGTGGGACCACTTTCTGGCAGCGTCCCTGGTGAGTTCCACGCCGTGTGCTTTCACCTCCACATCCGCAAGACGGTGGGACACGAGTACCTGTGAACACTGCAGCGAAGGCCGTAAGGCGGTTCACAGGACGCACGGAGGGCACGCTCTCGGTTCACTACATGCTAGTTATTGCTATTTGGAAGGCTGTACAAATGAATTAGAACAGTTACCTTTAACAATCTTACACTTTTTGAATATCCTCTGAATATTATTTGTAATTCTTAATCTTGTTCTTTTCTGTTTTCCTTTACCAGGTTTTCAATTTTGTGAGGTTTTCAAAGAAAAAAATGACTTGGTTTTATTTCTTTTTCTTTTTTTTTGGAGAGGTTTTTGCTATAGGGTGCGTGCGCTCGCCAGCCAGACAGAGAGAGACAGAGAGATGGAAAGCGAGAAATCATCCCCCGGGGGGATGGTCACGCCGCAATCCCTTCTCCTCCATTCTCCTCCCAGGATCTTGGGCACGCACGCACATGCGCCCAGCGTGAGTTTAAGCCACCGGGTCCGGGACTTGAACCGCGGTCGACTACGTGGGAGTTCAGCAACATAGCCATTATGCTAACTGCTGGTCCCAATTTCTCACATCATTCTTTCCTTTACATTTCTTCACAATGTTCATCAATTTGATTTTTCTTTTAACTGGCTTCCTGAACTGAATACTTACTTTACTCATGTTCAGTCTTTAATTACTAATACACGTTTGTCTCTGCAAAACACAATGTCCGAATCCAATAGAATTTAATAGGAACTGTTGTAATTGTCATGTATTTCTAAATCGCCTGTAATCTCAATTCTGATTTCCGCTTTAACCCAGTGGTGACGTGGTTTTAGTGATTTTAGGTCAGGAAACGTAACTGAGATGACTTCTGCTTTCTGGAATGTGCTGGATTTTCTGTATGACCTATTACATCAGGACCCTATTAGTATTCCACAGGCACCTGTGCAGAACACATATCCTTTGTATTTGAATCTGAGGCTGTAAATCCCCGTTACTCAACTTCTTTACAGCCTTAGTTAACAGCGTTCACTGTTAAACATGTCAATGCTAAATGTTTGGTGCAAAAAGGTTCATGGTCGTCAAATCCACTTAATGGATATCAGGTTTTATCAATATAAATTAGCATTCTTGTCTCACGGAACTATGCCCCATCTCCCTGAATTCCATTCTGCCCAATTTCAGAGGCTCCTCGTTGCTTCTGTCAGCAGTCTCACACACGTGCTCTGTGTGCCCTATGTGCACGAGGTGCGATAAACCGGGAGGTAGGCACACAGGCAGCAAAACACATTTTGCAAATTCTAAAAGGAAACCGTTGAAATAGTTAAATGTAGCTAACTACAAAGCAAGCCAATCCTATCGACATTTTTTTAAAAAAATTAACACCTGGGCAATTTGCAGGGACATTCAGAAGCTCTAGTAGTTACATTACAGCTGCCAGTAACAATGAACTTCCAATACCAAGAGGCTGCATGATCTGAAAGAACCAACCAGTCCCAGAGGGGCATGCATACTGGAAAAGATGCAACTAGGAGAGAGAGAGAGGCCGAGACACAGATGTGAACTGGAGAGGGTAAAAATTAAGAGAGCCAGCTACATTATAAACATTTACAGAAGAGCCACGAGGTATAAGTCACCGTGCCCTGTGCATGTAGGTTTTTGTTTATTTTTTATTCATTCACTTATTGTCACTTTTTAGCTGACTCTAGAGTGCATGTGCTCGCAGCAGAGAACCAGGACGGGGTGGGGTGGGAAGTCACCCCCAGGGAAATGGCCACACCACAATTCCTTCCCCTCCATTGTCCATTCAGGATTCGGGGCACATACACACATGCACCCCACGTTTTTCAAGCAGCCAAGTCTGAGACTCGAACCACAGAACTGGCCATGTGGAATCCAGCCACCTTAACCTCTATGCCACCTGCTGGCCCTGTGGATGTAGTTTTACTTCTGTAATATTGTAGCATTAAAATTGATATGCATTTTCTATGACAGACCATGCATATGTGCATGCAGCAGAAAGGAAAGAGGGAGAGAAGAGCATCCTCAATAGGAATCACTCCACGGTCCTTTTGCCCTTGAAAGAGGAAAAATGAGAAAAACAACAACAAAAACAACCATACTCAGTGAAAATATGCTTCCAAAATGAAGATAAATGAAAAGTTTTCATATAAACAGAAGTTGAATGAGTACCCAGCAGTCTCTTGCTCAAAAAGACAAATGAGAACACAAGTAATGAATGCGACCTTAGTATAAGCACAAGTTCTAACCTGGTTCCATTTTAATGTCATTTGATGTGGGTTTCTTTCTTTTTTTTTTTTTTTAATTTGTATGCTGGTCCTACAGTGCAGTGGGTAAGCGCGTGCGTACTGGGAGCTGGATTCTACATAGCCAATCACCGGTCAAATCCTAGCCCGGGCGGTTAAAACTATGTCGGGTATCTATGAGTGCATGCTCGAAATCCCGATGGGAGGGAGAAATTGAGGAGGGGGCTGGAGCATGACCACACTCCACTGGGGGTACTTTCTCTCCTCTCCCCCAACCCACGCACTCATGGCACAGGAGGCTTCAGGTGATAAAATAAATACTAAAAAGACAGTACAAACTCCAGTCATTTATATCAGTTATAAAATACTTCTGATTTACATCATGACTACCATGACACAGGTGGGCAACTCTGATAACACACGAGGAACTGCTGACCCGCAGCCTGACGCTGTGGTTCAAAAAAGGGGGGGAAGTGGGGGAGCAGCAGCTGCTGTGGTGGATTCCCACATGGCTGACTGTGGTTTGAGTTTCAGACATGGCGGCTTGCTTTCTCCTTTTCTCTCTCTGGTGAGCACACATGCCCTAGAGCAAATTAAAATAATAATAAAATTAAATAAACAATGATTTAAAAGATGTTTATTTCATTCTTGAGCAAACTTACCTCTTTGTTTTGGAAAAATCTGTTCAGGATGCTGTAAAATAAATTAAAAGTATATTAGATAATGACTTAACATATAAACTACACGAAATTTTTAAAAATAGTGATTAAGAATAACTACCTTCATTACTGGCCTGGCTCGTTTCTCAAACAAACCACTTGGGAAAAGGTAAGTGATGGCTCTCTGAAAATACACACAAAGGTTAATTAACAAATGTTATCAAAACTAGTTCATGTTATAACTAATAGTTACTGAATACTTACTATGTGCCAGAAACGCAATCAGAGTTTCATATGCATTATCTTCTTTCATAATCTTTTTAAAAATTTTGCCAGATGGCGCATGTGTGCACTGGATACTGAGAGAGGGAGAGACAGAGAGAATGTACCCTCTCTCTCCTTGGGGAGATGGTCACATCATACTCCCTTTCCTCTATCTTTGAGATTTTGGGAATGAACACAAATGTGCCCAGACTGTTTTTTTTGTTTGTTTTGTTTTTTTTTTAAGAAGTTTTTGCTACAGGGCACGTGCGCTCACCAGACAGACAGAGACAGACAGAGAGATAGAAAGCAAGAAATCACCCCCCAGGGGGGATGGCAACGTCGCAATCCCTTCTCCTTCATTCTCCTCTCGGGATCTTGGGCACACACGCACACAAACCCAGCGTGAGTTTAAGCCACTGGGTCCGGGACTCAAACCACGGTCGACTACGTGGGAGTCCAATGACATAGCCATTACACTAACTGCTGGTCCCGTGCCCAGACTGTTTTTAAGCCACCAGTCTGGGACTCAAACCATGCAGTCAGTGAAGTGGGATCCAGTTGCCTTAACCAATATACCAACTGGCTGGCTCATAATCTCTTAAATGAGATAAGAAAATTACTCAAAAGAAAAAGATTAAACTTGAATGCAATACCACAAATTAACTCTTCTATTTTTAACAGTGTAGTCAGGTACTCAAGAGCAATCACTCCAACTCCCAGCTGGCTGTGCAAATATGAAAGACAAAACACTTGGCGGGTCCCTCAGGCAGTGGTTCAGTGCCGTGTGCTGGAAACCAGGTCCCATATGGCTGACCGCAGTTAGAACCCTCGTCTAGGAAGCCTGAAAAACATGCTAGGTGTGTGTACATGCACGCCCAAAATCCCGGATGGAGGGATGGGAAAAGGGCTGCAGTGTGACTACACCCCACTTGGGGGCAGGGGGCTGTGTTCACTCTTCCTCTGGCAAGTGCACACATTTCTGGCAAAAATAAATACAAAGAAGAAGATAAAAAAGTGCAAAGTGCAAAGAACCATCTCTAAGTCTCACCCACCATGACACCGTGATGTTTTCAGATGTTCTTTCAACCTTTCCCGAAGTTTTTAATCTACACTCTTTCCTAATAATTTCTCTTGAGTGTCTACTTCTCCCCAGAATGCTGCTGGCAACCTCACTGTGACAGCTCTGCGTAGGTGACCTTTCCCACCCTACAGTCCACCTAATGACCCTGGCCCTTTCCAATCCATGGCAGTAATAGCCCAGTGCTGTGACAAACCTTACCCAACCATGCTTCCAAATGCCCAACCTCCTGGGAGCAGTCCCGCCTTCTACTTGAGAACAACTTTATAAAGCCTTCTCATGATTAGCCACAACAGCAAAATGTGGTTCTTTCTTGCTGAATGGTGTCGGATGAAAGGTCTGGGTGGGTCTTAGCACCTAACAGGTACCCACAGTGAACCGACAGTGCATTTAAACACAAGCTGCTCTTCGGAGAGCCTCGTCTTAGGACGGGCCTTTTCTGTCCACCCACACAGTCATTGTGCTACACCAGATTTTACCTTTGAAAGCAGGGGCCTTTAATTTTAGGGGTATAAATTCAATTATATTAGGGAGCCCAGCTGTATCTCTGGCTCAGACTTTATTTTTTTCAATCAGACCTTTTGCAATTAAAAATGAAATTCAATCAAATTAAGTGTTCATTCAGTTAAAAGAAAAAGACGCGTTTTTAAACAACTACCTTCCCTACAGGAAAAAAAGACAGGCTTTCTAACGACTGATACTCAGACAACTGACTGCCATTTGGAGAAAGCTAAAATGAGATCCAAACCTCACACCTTATAGCAGAATGGACTCCGAATGAGACAGAGGGCCAAACATACAAACAAAAACCAAGTGAGTACAGCATACAACATGGGTGGATCCCTTTATAATCGTGATATGGGGATATCCTTATTAATTAAGCCTTCCTTAAGTATGACTCAAAGTTCAGAAGCAATTAAAAAAAAAGAAAAGAAAAATATGGCTCAAAATGTACTCATTAAAACTACTGAGAGAGCACTTTTTATGTATGAGACGAAAGAAAGTTCAAAAGAGTGACAGAACACCATTGGCAAAGCTATAAAAACCACACACAGCTTGTAGAAGTGACAAACGCTGCAACATCTATGCTAGAAGTTCGATGCTTCCATGGATTTACCCAGAAGATAAGCCCCAACTAATACAACAGAAGCACACTTTATTCACTGAATTACAAAAACAAAGTATTAGAAACAACCAAATCCCCATACATAAGAGGCTGGGTGAAGGAACGCTTGTACCTCTGTGCAATCAAGTATTAGTCATAAGACAGACAGACAGACAAGACCCAAAAGAAATGCACCTAAAACACTGCTTTGGTGTTTTAGAAAGAGAAACAAATAGAAAATACAAATGGGCATGGGAAAAAAACGTCCGTGGGCTTCTTTCTCCACACATAAAACACAAGGATAAGGTAGAAACTAATAACAATCATTCCCTCGTAAGTGCTGGGTGGGAGCAGAGACTGGCTCCTCGGTATATTAACTAAGATTATGGACTATTCCTTTGTTGTTATTTCAACAATGTTCACAGCATCTTCACTGGGAGTAGACTGCATCTCCAGAAACCACTTTCTTGCTCATCCATAAAAAGCAACTGCTCGTCCACTAAGGTGTTACCACGAGACTGCGGCAATCTGGTCACACCTTCTGGCTCCACATCTCCCATTTCCATCACATCTGCAGCTATTTCCCTCACTGCAGTCTTGAACTCCTGCTTCAAAATCATCCATGAAACTTGCAATCAGCTTCTCCCAATCTTGAGTTAATGTTAATATCTGACCTTCCCATGAATAACATATTTTCTTAACAGCTAATGATAAATCCTTTGCAGAAGGTTTTCAATAGACTTTGCCGAATACCATCAAAATAATTGCTACCTATGGCAGCTACAGTTTTACAAAATGTTGGGTTTTTTTGTTTTTTGTTTTTTAAGTAATAAGTCTTGAGAGTTGAAATGACTCCTTGTTCCATGGGCTGAAGAATGGATGTTGCATTAGCAGGCATGAAAGTATCTCCTTGTCCATCACCATCAGAGCTCTTGGGTGACCAGATACACAGTCAGTGAGCAGAATATTTTGAAAGAAATCTTTTTTCTGAGTAGCAACTCTCAATAGCAGGTTTAAAAATTAGTAAACCCTGCTATAAACAAATGTGTTGTCATCCAGGCTTTGCTACTTACACAACATAGCGGCATAGATTTAGAATAATTCTGAAGGTCCCTAGGATTTGGTCCCTAGGAAATGGCAAATGAGCACTGGTTTGACTTAATTCACCAGCTGCATTAGCCCCTAACAAGAGTCAACCTGTCTTTTAAATTTTTGAAGCTAGACATTGAAATTTCCTTTCTAGTTATTAAAGTTCTAGATGGCCATATTCTTTCTAAAGAAGGCTATTTCATCTACTTGGAAAATCTGTGGGGTCTTTTGTTTTGTTTAGGTTTCACCATAGCCTTGCCAAAGAGAGACAGAGAGACACAGTGAAAGGAAAAGTGAGAAATCACCCCGAGGGGAATGGCCCTGCCACAATCTCTTCTTCTCCATTCTCCTGGGATTTCTGGCCTCCACACACACACTCCCGGCGTGATTTTCAAGCTGCTGGGTCTGGAGTTTGAACCAGAATTGGCCATGTGGGAGTCTAGCACCTTAATAACCACGCCACCTGCTGGACCCATGATAATCTGTGTAGAGAGAGTATCCACCGTCATCACTCATCTTGGTTAAATCTGGGTAACTTGCTGCAGCTTCTTCATCAGCACTTGCTGCTTCACCTAGCACTTTGATGTTATAAAAACGGCTTCTTTCCTAACTCTCACAAACCATCCTCTGCTGGCTTCAATCTTTTCCTCTGCAGCTTCCTCACTTCTCTCAGCCTTTACAGACTGGAAGACAGTCCCTTGCTCCGGATTAGGTTTTGGTTTAAAGGAAATGTTGTGGCTGGTTTGATCTTCTATCCAGAGCACTAAAACTTTCACATATCAGCAGTAAGGCTGTTTCACTTTATCATTTGTGTGTTCATGGAGTAGCACGTCTCACTTCTTGTTTCCTTCAAGAGCTTTTTCTTCACATTCATAAATTGGCTAATTGTATGGTACTTTCAGTCTAGCTTAGCTTTCAATATGCCTTCCTTGTTAAGTGTAGTAATTTCTAACTTTTCATTTAAAGTGAGAGACATCAACTCTTCCTTTCACTCAAAAACTTAGAGGCCACTGTAGTTACTAATTGGCCTACTTTCACTACTGTTGTTTCTGAGGCTAGGAAGGCCTGAGGAGAGGGGAAAGACGCGGTGGGAAGAGAAAAAAGAACATACAGAACATTTATCAATTACATTTGCCATTGATTCAGGGCACTTCAAGTTACACGCTAATTACAACGGAAACATCGACAATGACTGACAAGATCACCATAACAGATACAACGATAATGAAAAGTGTGGCATATTCGAGAATTACCAAAGTGTGGCAGAGACATAAAGTGAGGACATGCTGTTGGAAAATTGGTGCTGACAGATTTGTTCAACACGGGCTGCCACAAACCTTCAATTTGTAAAAATAAATAAGTAAATAAATAAGCAAGCAAGAATCTGTGAGGTGGAATAAAGTGAAGCATGCTTGTATGTATGCAGAAAGAAAGAAAATTTGGCATAATGTTCACAACTCACATGTCTATATGAAAGGTAAGGGCGTGTGTGTGTGTGTGTGTATGTGTGTGTATTCACTGATTAGTCAAATTTTCTGGAAATGAGAAAAGCTATAAAAAAGGTGAGAAAGTGTTAAAATTTGAAAAAACAATAAATGAGATCTTCCCAAACCCCACCTCGCAGTCAGACACTGCGGTCCCATGGCTG